CCATCCTACACGCCGCCGCGTGGTATTAACTCCTTACCAGTTTGTTTCATATATTTTCACATTATACGGTGGTCCTCTTGTGTCCACAGCCAATGATCAATCCGCAATGTAGACTTTGGCCGCCAACATCTCACAATGGTATATGCACCGAGGATAAACCTGGTGCCCTGAAAAAAAATAAAACTTTATGTCTAAACCCTGTCAAATATCATACCAAAGCTTGCATTATAACATTAATGGTGCATTAAATACACATGTATGAATGGAATTTAATTGTCCACTCACCTCAGCGAACATCTTGGACTGGCTGACTTATACCTCCGGCATCTGTCAGTAACCTCACTACTCTCTGACAGATGGCTGCTACACTAGTACGACTCTCGACCACCTCACCAGTCACGTCATCAACTCTCCACACTGTTCTCAAGTTTTATTTCCTGGAAAATTAAGTAGGTATTTATTGCAATAATGTAAAACATAGTAAGTACTACAAGAACATGATGCATCGTTAAAATCTACAAGAGCCCAGTGTGAATGGAAGAGGCTCAACGCTCAGAACTCATATAGAGACTGTGCATTATCACCTCAGCATTCTGTGTCAGTCACCTCACTCTTTTCGACGATGTTGCTATACTAGTGTAACGGGTTTTTCGCACTCCTCCGCTAATCGCCTAATTAACCGCCGTCGACTACTACATTGCCGTGATATGTACGCAGTGCGTTGTCGACTCGCCCATGACAGGGCCTTTACATCCCGTCCTTTACGCGATTCCGATCACTAGCGGTCGGCGACGAGGGGGCAGAGGCAGCCAACACCGAGCGCGAGAAAGGGGGGGCGTCCGGGTCGTCCAGTTGGAGATACAGTAGGCTGGAGGGGGGCGGTCGTCAAGAGTGAGAAGTGCAAGTGTGCAGTAATTAGTAGAACTAGAAGTGTTTATTGCTGCAACCACCAAACCGATGTGTCTGCCGCACACTCATCCGCTATAACGATCACTATCAGTGTACGTAGTCTATTGCACTACCATTATCACTACTAGCTACGACATACAGCTACGCTCGGGTACTAGCTACAGCATACAGCTAACAGCTACTGGTACTAGTACAGCATACAGCTACAGCTACGGTTACTGCCTACAGCATCAGCTACAGCTAACGTGGGGGTACTAGCTACGTAGCATACGCTACAAGCTATAGTACTAGCCTACAGCATAGCTCAGTACGTAATAGCTCAGCATCGTACAGCTACGTGGTACTTAGTACAGCATACGAGCTTACAGTCGTACTAGCTACACATACGTACAGCTACAGGTATAGCTAAGCATACAGTCTACAGCGTAGGTACTGCTACGCATACGTACAGCTACGGTACTAGCTACAGCCATACAAGCTACAGCTACGGTACTAGCTACAGTCATACAGCTTACAGCTCGTCTAGTACGCTACAGTACAGCTTCGGGTACGTTAGCTGACAGCATACAGCTACGCACGGGTACTAGATAACAGCATACGCTTACAGCTACACGGTACTAGCTACAGCCATAAGCAGCTACAGCACGCCGGTCCTGACCTACAGATAGCTCAGCTACAGCGCGGGGTACTTAGCTACAGCATACAGCTACAGCTACGGGTATAGCTCGCAGCATACAGCTACAGCTACCGGTCTGCTACGGATACAGCTTACAAGATGACGGGTACTAGCTACCAGATCGCATACAGGCGCTACGGTACTGCGTACGCTCTACAGTCCTTCAGCTACGGTACTAGCTACAGATACAGCTACAGCCTACGTACTAGCTACAGCATACAGCTACAGCTACGGTCATCTACGCTACAGCATACGAGCTACAGCTAGCGGTACTAGTACAGGCATAGGGGCTACAGTACGGTACTAGTACATGCATACAGCTACGCTCGGTACTAGCTTCAGATACACTATATGATGCATATGTTCCGACATATTTTTTAGCCTGCGTAACGCTACCGTATTTATCTCTAGCTCTACACTCGCGGGCTACAGACGGTGCGGCATCGTGCCGCAGGCCACACGAGAGCCGCCGGCAAGCTGTTCTGGGCGATGTCGGACGGGAGAATGGTTCCACCGCAGCCGTAATGTCAAACTGCAGCAGAAAAACTACCCAGCGTTGCACAGCAGCCCTCAGAGTGGGCGTCAATCATGTTTCGGCGCGAGATCCCCTCCCGTAGAGCTCCCCGCCGCGCGAGCCCCCACCGGCCCGTCGCCGGTGTCGCAGTCTCCTTCACCGGCCTTCCTACATTATTTCCTTTGCCCCGTCGGCGTTGTTCCGCCTGATCCAGGGTGTTTCTGTCTTGCCAGTTGCGGCTGCCCGCCTCCCATGCATTCCACCTCAGACTCATCGCCAGTGCATCCAGGTCCGACCTCGCCTTCACGTTGCCATCCGGGGAGAGGTCTCCAGAGGGCGCCGCAAGGTCGAATGACGTCCTGCAGCAACTGCCTGGCTCTTTCGTCTTCTGGCTGCCCTCAATCCTTTTCCCGCCTGACCAGCAGTTGCCATCGATGCTCTGGGCGGCGCCGCATGGCGTTCCACCAGATACCTCCCTCCTGCTGCGCATTCGCGTGCCCCACAACTTGCCGCTGGACTGGCAGGCGAGCACTGACATGGCAGCGCATTCGCAGAGTCTCTTAGAGCCTACTCTGCCCCCCTCCCCACTTGCGCGGGGAGTGATGCGTCTGGTGTCCCATCCAACGCCCCGCATCTCCAACTCGACCCGACTGTTGGGTCTGGTGTTTCGTCTGTCTCGCCCATTCACGTCGCAATCTGGTTTACGGAGCCCTCAATGTGTAACGGTTTTTCGCGCCCTCTCTCCCTAATCGCTAATGTAACCGCCGTCGGACTTACTACCATTGGGCCGTGAGTATAGTACGGTTGCTGTTGTCGCCGCGCACCCTGCAGGGCCGTTACTCCCCGGTTCCTTTACGATGTCGCATCACTGAGCATTCGCGACGAGGCAGAGGCAGCAAACACCCACGACGCCGAGAAAGGCGGGAGGGGTCCGCAGGCGGTGTGTCTGAGGGGGTGCGTTGCGGTGCGTCCAGTGAGGATACAGCATGGTGTCGAGTCGCCGGGGGACCGGGATGCTGATAAATTTTGCATTTCTAGGCATCAATGCTCTAAGTGAGAAGTGCAAGTATGCTGAGTAATTCATGCATGAGAAATAGCTATCTGCAGAAGTCGATTGCATCTTAGACGCAATCTTTTAATCCAAAAAAGAAATGTTTGTCTGCGCACATCATGCCGCTGGTCCCGTACATAGACTGATCACGTAATTTCGCAGTCGGTGTAGTAGGCCTAATTGCTACCTATGACACATTATCACATACTAGCTGGCCTACAGCTACCGCTACAGTGTGTGGTGTGTGTACGGTACTGGCTACAAGCATACGTACAAAACTAGCTACCTTTGGGTATAGCCCTACAGCAATACAGCTACAGTACGCGTGTGGGTACTGCTACAGCACTAGCGAGTGTCACAGCTTTTGACCCAAACCCCCCCCAAGTGGCCTTCGGCAAGCTGTTATTATAAGACTAACAGAAAAGATGATCAGGCGTCAACAAACGCCAAGTATCGCCCTTTGATATCTTCGAATGGAACTCACTTTTCAACGAATTACAATTCGCTGCATACTCGCCCCTGACGGTACAAGTACTCAGCATACAGCTACAGCTACGGTACTAGCTACAGCATACAGCTACAGCTACGGTACTAGCTACAGCATACACTATATGAATGCATATGTCCGACATATTTCAAACACGCTGTAGCCTGTAACCGTACCGTATTTATCTCTAGTCTACACTGAGGCTACAGACTGTCAGTATACCTTCCGTACATAAATCCTACACTATACTTATACATACCACACTAGTAGTAGTACTACTACTAGTACCGTACGCGCACTACGAGGCACTCACAATAGCACTACAATCTACTGTACGCGCACGGTTAAGTTAACATCGGACGCATTCTAAAAACACAACTGCCCGCCATCCCTCTCTGGCGTATCTCCCCTTCGCGCCGTTTTCTCTATTGTTCTCACTTCCTGGAACCGTCCTCGCGGCTAGCGCCATCTCTCGTAAAATAAACTGCACATCGTGCTACCGAAACGCACGATACCAAAAGCGAATCTGCTACACTAGTATGACCCTCGACTACCTCACCAGTCACAGTCATGTCATTACTATTGGCAAATGATTCAAGGCCTTCGAAATCTTGAAGTATGTCTGCTCAGGAGCATGTTTGATCTGACACCGAAACACCATCCAGGACCAAGTCGTCTGTCATATCTGTAAGGAAGGTTAAGGCAATTCATTAACAAACAGGAAGCAACATTTATGTGTTATTACCAATCAAGTTCAAAAAAATAGACTCCAGTGTGGTGTCATTAGGGCTGTAACGATTGACCGAAATCGAATCGGATCGCAATTCTCTTCCATCGATCCAATCCTCGATATTTTTCCCCGTATTTTCAATTCCACTTCGATACCACTTTTTTCCCTCCAATAGATGGCGGCACTACGCCAAATTGTTAAATACGCCTACTACTACTACTATATTACTACTAGTACTACTATTATGCCAAATTGCTAAATAAAATTGAGAAAAAAGAAAGAATGTAATAGTTGGTTAAGAGTTTTTATTGCAAAATAATGAAAATATAAAAAATAAGATAACATTTCAATATTTTTGGAATCGAAATGAAGGAATCGAATCAAGAGGCTAATATCGAGATACGGATCGAATCGAGAGGCTTGTGTATCGTTACAGCCCTAGGTGTCATGTTACCATTGTCAATATTTAGTAAGAAACGTTTGCGAATTTGCTGTGTACAATGCACCCCAATTTCTGTTTCCACTGCTGCAAGAATGCTGAAGCGCTAAAGTGACAATATCATGCAGTACAATGTGGCGTCATGAGAGCGCTAATTTTCTGTCCGGACAAAATTGAAATGGGGCTGAATCATTTGTTTTAAACAGTACACTTTTTAAAAAAGGATACCATAAAAAATCAAATCAGTGTCTTCTGTCATTCGTCACTGGCAAAAAAGCCACGAAGTGGTTCGGGGTCCACAGTGCTTATTCATCAGATATACGAATTGATGACCACATTATGGTTGCCACGCTGGCAGAACGGTCTCTACATGCTCGAGGTTCAACAATGCGATTCAGAAGGTCACGTGTTGCCTTGCCACCTGCGTCTGGGTATATTGACTGGATTGGGCACTGCAATACACTAGCCAGTGCAAATATGGCCCACATGTCCATGTAGCTGCCATTGGCGAGAGTTTTCATGGCAACCTGACTAAAGGCATCTGCAATAACGTGCGTGCTGTTAATTCTCTGCCCCTCTGGTAACTTGGCTTCAGAAAACACTGAGCATGAATGCCAGCTTTTTCTGATTCTGATTCTCATTCGGGTGATGGATGCCCTTTGTTGAGGTATTCCTCCGACATGTAACATGAGGCATGTAATGCCATTTCTATAGCGATACGAACTCTCATTTCTTTCCAGTAATTCTAATGTCGGAATGCGAACATACTCCCACACCTGGGAAGACAGTTTCCATCTGCATCGATTGAAACTGGGAAGAGGGAACCATATGAGTTCAGAGAGAATGCAATGTTATCAACCGTACTCTTTGTACCAACCACACTGACTTCCTTTGGTTGGCAGAGCAATTCATACTTCTCAACCACTGGTAACACATGAGAGAGCAGATTACGGCCGGTGCATATATGTTGGTCTCCTAGAAACCGTTTACGTTCGTTCAGTGATTTATGCCTGAATGTGAAACACTGATTGAGACTGGTTAGTGTTGTGTATGGGACACAGTTTCTTAGTGTATGTAGATGAGGGTTCTAAACCTTGACCGACGTCAACCTTGGAGACAGTCTTTTTTGATATTGCTGTTCGTTCTGGCGAACCGAGAGAGTCTCTCTTTCTGACCACGTTGTTGAGTGTCTGTAGCATATATGAACCCTGGATCATTCAGTGTTGAGCTCGTTTCACGGATAAACCTGCAAAACTCTGAGAACGGTGGGAACGCCACGCCGTAGTCTTTCTTGTATCGTGTTTCTCGGTTCGTCCACTTATTCTGTAGACTAGGGCAGCTTGCTGACGACCGGAATCACGCCCGATGACGAGTTAAAGTAGCCGAGCACAATCTGATACCTTGGGTCTTCCATGGTGGATTCTGAATCTCTGACAGAATGTCGGACAGTTCGAATAACTGTTTGGAGTCCTTGTTCCCTAGCTGGGGAAATCGAGCTAGCTTCTACCTCAATGACGCTTCAACCATCTCAGGAGCACCATATCTTTCCTCAAGTCTCTCCCAAAGTCTCTCCAAACCCCTCGCAGGGTTAGCCGCATTAGACGATCTAAGACTCGCAGCATGTTTTCTTGATTTAGGCCTAAGCCATTTCAGTAGTAAGTCGAATTCCTCCGTTGGTGTCACACCGAGTCCTGATAGCACGGAGCGGAAAGTAGTCTTCCATACTGAGAAAGTCTCTGGCTGGTCGTCGAAGGTAGTGAATCTGTGTAAGAGAAAATCTTTTCTCAAAAGAAAGTGTGATGTCAGAATACCCCATTTCTCTGGGCGCGTAAGAAAGAGCGTTAGGGTCGAGCCTTGGGTACTCATGAACTGCGCCAGCTGTTTGTGGCTTTGGGTACTCACGGACTCCACCAGCTGCTTGATCGAGAGGTACGTAGTCTACAGAAGAAGGCAACGTGGGATACACGTGGCTCGGCTGTGGTGTTGGTAGAATGCTGACCGGTTTGTTATGGTATTCTTAAAGCTGCTTCACTTGATCAATAACAAACTGTTCTGTTCGTGCCTCAGTATTTTCCTCAGGTACCGATATTGCTGCACGTGAACCACTTGATTTGCTGTACGCGTTCAACTCCGCCTCCACGACTGCCACATCTTTTTCCCTGTCAAGGACTTTTATGTCCACCTCGAGTTCCGTTTTCTTCCTCTCTGTGGCCGCACGAGCCCTTGCTTCGTCTTCCTCTATTTGTGCTTTTTCTTTGAGTAGTTATGCTTCCTTTCTTTCAAAGTCGAGAACAGCTGGTGGCCCCAGTCTTTGTCTGGTGCCTCGCCCTCATGGAGCTTGTAATTGAACCAACAAGTTCTGATTTGGACTTCCTTGAGGTCCCCCATGTACGTGACTGCCTGCTTCCCACATTACTTCCTGCTTTCTGTCCTGCAAGTACACTGTCTATCCCTTGTAACACGTATGACACTCTACCTTCTATAGATCTATATATTATGTCTCGGGCAGCAAGTTCCCTCTCACTTTGGGGAGTGTTAGTTCTTCTCAGGTAATCCTGCAACGGGGAAGTTTATGTTTTGTACTCTACAAACAACGTTGTCAGCTTGCCTTTAATTTGCACTTAGTGGTCCCGTGGGGCTTGCACTGGCAGTCTCACATTGTTGCTCCAGTAGTGTAGTAATGAGGTACATTCGAAAACAATAGGCATATAGGGGGCGCTGATAAGCAACTCGGTCCTGTGCAACAACTGCTGCGCGGTGTTTACAAGTGAAAACTGTACTGTACGTACCGTGTTCTGTTTTTCAACTCGATGTTGTTTTTACCTGGGACAATGCCAACCGAATATTGTGTACTACATTGTGGAAAGAGGGGGAGGACATGCTTTCTCTGTACGTTTTAAGTAGCGACGTGCCTGGATTAGAGCTCTGAGACGATGAGAAAATAACTACTCTGAGACCTTCCAAGTACGCGCGTGCATGTCAAGATCATTTTGATGAATCGTACTACGTTGAGACAACCTAGTTCGTATGGTATGTTTTTTCATTATTAGCAGATTAAGTAATCAGTTGCCCTAATCTTCTTTGTATAAGTATATTTCAAATCAACAGCTAATGCGAAACAAGCTTGACCAGGCTGCGAGATTAATATCAATATTCAATACACATTTTCAATATATTAGTTATATATTACATTACATTACCATTTCTTGGAGGGCAATGGAGCTAATCTGAAACAAATACTTACTTATATTAGTCTTTGCATTGTAGCCAGTATGTTTTTCAGGTTGGGTTAACGCGTTCCTAATCTTGAATATGTATGATCATGCACTCATTAGGGTTAGGCTAGGGGCCTGTGGGTTGATAGAGTATATAAAGTACTGGACAGTCTACTATACAGTAGCCCGAGTAGGTATACATGCTGTATATTGTGATATATATACATATATATATAATTCTGCTA